AGAAGTTGACCTTTGATGAGTTGGTGTTTCCATAATGAATTATTAAAAGTTAATGAATCTTTTTTTTTTCCGGCATTTTTCTTGATTTGTAGCATATGTATGATGGGTAAAACAATTTTCTTCGGTTAATTTTAAAATTATTTTTGGCTGCAACAGTGCTAACAGGGATGCCTTTTTCGAGTAAATATGAAAATTAACAATTCATTGACTAGACTAGATCGATGTTTAATAAATATACCCGGAAGAAAGTAAGTACTTTTCATTTCCTTAGTGAAAAGAAATACAGGGGTGGATCCAGGATTTTTCTTAGAAGGGGTGCACCACTACAGAATGGCGTAACTGACTGGTGAGGTAAACAAATTTTACGAGTGAATACAAAGAAGAAGGCTTCATCTTAGGGGGGTTGCGCACCCCCTGCACCCTCCCCTAGATGCGCCCCTGAAATACATGTTAACAGAGGCACTCTGATCTACACTAAGGCAAATTCAGGACCAGAAAATAAAGAGCAAAATGGATCTGTTAGCATGGGGAGTAAATCTGAATCTCAATTTGCATTAGTTTGACCGGGCAAATCATTGAGAAGACAACAACAATGGAATGATTTTATCTCTCATTATTTGATTCTCTTTATTTGTAGCAGGCTGACCCCCATGCTTAAGTGACAAACCAGAAAGAGATAACTTTCTTTCCTATATAAAATCCACAAAGATCAGGCAGAAATCCCCTTGTGTGTCACAATATCACAGTTCAATTAACCTCTCAGCCTTTTGGATTTCATCAAATTGACTGTATATATGGGCTCTGACTCCGGAACAGGGTATAAAATTCATCCTTTCTCTCTGGAAGAAAACTATATTTTGAAACTGGAACAGAAATGAATAATTTCCCCCCAGAGTCACAGATTATTCACAATCTGGTGTACATGTATAGGTACAAAACTTTGCTCCATATTTCCACAAAAGTGTGCACTTTTTTTTTTCTTATAATATATTCTTGAACAGATTACTTATTTTGGCAATCTTTGTCTGGAACAATGGTAAATCTATCCTTTTGTGGTCTGAGTCCTTTTGTAACTGATAAAATTAATGTTTCATGAATATATCTAATTTATGAAGTAGCCTGTAGTTAGTTTCAAACTATTTGAGTTGTAGCAGTTATTTCATTTGGATTTCAATATTTGAGTCACTTATCTTCTTTTCAAAGGTTGAAAATTGTTCCGAAATTTAACATAATTTTCTGTCGTTACTGGACGCCAAATCATTTTATTTATAAAACAAAAAGATCTCTAAAAGATGAGATTGCGTGACACAACTTTAAATCGGAATAATTTGTGGATTTCGCAAAAAGTTACAAATTTCCTCTGTCCTCAATTTTTCACTTCGAATTCTCTGCAGTCTTTCACTTGAATTTAGTCTACATTTTATTCCTGGTCTATTAATTTGACGTGATTGCTTCACAAGCCGTCAGAGCGCATACACACTGGGGGTCACACAGCTGGTAAGGAGAAAGACTTCGAATAGTGTGGCGCGTGTAGCAATATATGTAGCGATGAAAAATTCTTTCATAATTGTGTTCTACACTCACACTATGGACATTAGGTCATCTAGTGGGAATGTGTAACGAAGAGAAGAAATGATCATACATAAAATGTACAAATATTCGGTAGAATCACTTTCAGAATGTACACACTTTGCGCTGAATTCTCTGACAATAAGATTTTGACTTGTCTATGTCGATAACCGCTAACGCCAGTGATTCTCAGTTCTGTTTATTGCAGAATAAAACCTCTGGCGACCCTCTGCAAATAAAACTTGTCAAATGGTGTTTACAACGTGAGAATATCCGTGCTCAAATTTCGTAAGAGGCAGAGGTCACTCGCATATTGCCGGCTAAATTCTGATCGGCATCGATTCGGGTTCTTTCATTCCATGCCTTGAAATTTTCATTTTCACCAAATTCCCTTCGCTAACCTGTCTTTGCCGACTTTACTCGCTTCTTAACGGTCGAAGTCTTCTCGTTCACCTCGTCCGTCTTGAGCTCGTCCATTTTCCGCAATGAGGAAATTAATCCCCTTCAGCTCAGCTGATCAAAACTCTCCAGAAATCCTTGAACCGCGACGATATTCAAAACCACGCCGGGCAACCTTGTTCCCAAGGGTTCCCCCGAACAGGGCGCTTTTTCCGCCCTGGTCCCCAGGGTCCTCTCCACTTTTCAAAATGGTGGGTTCTGAAAATCTAGCAGGCACACAATACGTGCAGAGGAATGAATGCTAGTTTTGCCAAGTCTTACCTCAGAGGGTGGCAAAGGGTTTTTGCGTGACGCGTGATCGCCCAAAAATTAGCAGCGTGTCGCGTGATTGAGACCAAATAGCGAACTTATTTAACAAGCAACAACGCTTTTGAGACGCGGATCGCCCCAAAATTAGCAGAGTAATGCGTGATTGAGACCACATTAGCCGCGTGACGCGAGACAGCATATCATAACGTGATGCGTGGTTTGCTATTTTACAAACAAGTGATGCGTGATTTGCCAATTAGATTTCCGTGATAAGTGAACGTTCTTTGAGCTAGAAGGATAGCATTCATTCAAAGTAAATAGCAGAGTCTTAAAAAAGATCATCAAATCGTGGCAGACGTGACACCATTTTCTGGTCTTTTTCGTCCTTTTCTTGACCTCCGATGTTCTTGATCTTCGTGGATCGCATGGTACTATACAGGGGCGCAGCCAGGATTTTTCAAAGGGGGGTCACACTGTATCCAAGTGAGGGTACTAAGCAGCTTGTCATGTCGTTTTTGAAACCTGGGGGGGGGGGTCACGGGCCCCCCAGGACTCCCCCTAGCTACGTACGCCCCTGCTATAGGTCCAAACAATTGTGTTAAAAATTATGGGAATAAGTCAATTAAAAATAGTTAAACTTTGCATAAGGACTATGAGCTTCAGTGTTATTTTTGTCCATTTTGTCGACCGATCATTTTTGGCAGTGCATCAGACCAAGGGGATATGACACACCATCTCCGAATCCGGCTATCGTATTAAGGGTCTAAACGAATTTCGATAACGATAACACACGTTAGGGTTTTGGTGTCGTTGTGTAAACAACGAGAGACTACACAAGGAAAACGTTTGTGTGCCACTTAATGAAGGTCGTCATAAAGACCTAACTGAATTGAAAAGCCACGTTATATCCTTTACAGACATAAAAACGTTTCCGCACAGAAAAGGATTTGCAGGTGTAAAGCTTTGACACAAAGATTGCCTGTATATTAGAGCATGGCAAAGGTGGCGTAGACGTCTTCTCAATTCGTATACAAGATCTCTGCCAACTTAGCCTGTGAACAGGCTCCCGATTG